CGGTCAGTACGACCGCAAACCCTCAAGGCCACATTTACTTACGCTCCGGTCAGTACGACCGCAAACCCTCAAGGCCACATTTACTTATGCTCCGGTCAGTACGACCACACTCTCTGTCAGGTCCATTTCAGGCCAGGTTTCCTGTTGGTTTTCCTTGAGGCTGTGAAAAGAGGCCTATTAATAGGTTATTTATGACCCTTTCTGGTCACATCGGTCACCCTGGAGAGTGTCCTATGATGCAGTCAAGTAGAATATAAATTGTCACTGCAGACCCTGCACCCATAAGGCCTTTTCTCGTGTGCCGTCCTGCACCCGGTGCGCACAGGACAGAGGGTAATGAGGAGGATATAATCTGATTATATCAGTCCAGCATCCCGTGCAGTGTCCCCCTGCCTCCCGCACTGTTACAAGTGGCATGTTGTGTAATAACATCACAGTCAAAGGTTGTAATGATGGGTAGCACTTTACTATGTCAGTTACCCAAATTAGAAATGTCCTTCGTGTCACTTTGCAACTTTTCAATAGATTTTCCGCTAATTTAACGTGATTTCTGAATGTTTCTGTAACAGTAGTTTGAAATTTATTCTACTTTGACTCCCTGCCAGAGATGAGTGAATGTCATTAGAATAGTTTTTAATACATTGTGCTGCCAGACTGCAATTCATTTTTCTCCACACAAAGTTACAAATTCTCTCACATGCAAATTGATGGATAAAAATGAAGCATCTCTCCGGGCCATTTGCTCGGGCAGAGCTCCTGTGTCTGATTAAGTCATTTTTTACCTTGTCTAACACCACATTTGGATAAGTTTACCAGTGCTGGCGTTTATCCAGCTTCAAGAAATGAGAAAACTCACGTTGGCAACGACGGCGAGAGCTGCTTCCACGGACCTTGACAAATCCCTTTGCTGCCTTCCCCCAACTTTTAGTGCCCTGTGTCATTTTAGACATTAATATGGGCTCTTCTCGCAATCATTCAACATCCAGCCACTCAGACAAACACATTACAGTGTAATTTCTATTTGCATGCTTTCTGAGGATGTCACACAGGAAATTACATCATATGACATATCACAAGACTGCATACGCATTCTCACTGGTGGGTTCTGATAACAGTCTAATTGGTCAGGAGCTCAGTGAGCTGGCGGGGCGGTTTCACTGCTAGGCCCCTGAAGAAGGCCCTCAAACCCCAGCTTCTCCAGGGACGGTCTCACCCTGCTTCACTGCTAGGCCCCTGAAGAAGGCCCTCAAACCCCAGCTTCTCCAGGGACGGTCTCACCCTGCTTCACTGCTAGGCCTCTGAAGAAGGCCCTCAAACCCCAGCTTCTCCAGGGATAGTCTCACCCTGCTTTCTCAAAATTGTATGTCTCGTTGGATAAAAGCATCAACTAAATAAATAAACTGTAAATGTACTCCAATCTGCCACAGAGCTATGCACCTGGTCACCAATTCTTTCTATCATTCAGCACTGAACTCCCCCAGTTACAATTACTCAGACTTGATAGGAGATATCTTGTGCATACAGCTAAAAAAAAAAAAAGTCACTTTTATTTGTGTTCTTTCTGGAGCAGAGCATGTGAGAAGAGCGGCCATAAAACCGATCAGTGCTTGCAGGATATGCAGCATGCATGGGATATGCAGCATGCGCGAGATATGCAGCATGCATGAGATATGCAAGATGCATGGGATACACAGGATATGCAGGATGCACAGGATGTGCGGTATATGCTGGAAATGCAGGATGCAGAGAATATGTAGGATATGCATGAAACATAGGATTCTCAGGATACAAAGGAAGCGCAGGAAATTCAGGATGCGCAGGATACACAGGATATGCAGGGTGTGCCGAATATGCTGGGTGCGCAGGATATGCAGGACATGCAGGAGGGTGCACAGGACATGCAGGAGGGTGCACAGGACATGCAGGATGTGTCAGATACACAGGATGCGCAGGAAATTCAGGATGCTCAGGATACACAGAAATTTCAGGATGCACAGGATATGCAGAGTGTGCAGGACATGCAGAATGTGTGGGATACAAAGGATGCGCAGGAAATTCAGGATGCACAGGATATGCAGGGTGTGCCGAATATGATGGGTGCGCAAGATATGCAGGACATGCAGGGTATGCAGTACATGCAGAATGTGTGGGACACACAGGATGTGCAGGAAATTCAGGATGCGCAAAATATGCTGGATGCGCAAGATATACAGGATATGCAGGCCCTCAGGCTGCCATCGTCCCTGCTGCCCACGCTGAGCCCTTCTCCTGTTCAGTGCAGCATGTGGAAGGCTGCATCACCGTGGTAATCTCACAAACCCACAATGTGCAAAGAGCCACCGATGCACTGAACGAATGTTCAGTTGTTGGGATATATATATATATATATATATATATATATATATATATATACACATTTTTTTTTTACAAAATGTTGAAAAAGCCTTGCGATGGGCGGGCATCCCATGTAGGGTGCCTACCTCCCATGTCCCCTCGAGACCCTGACCATGATAAGCAGGTAAATGATGGATGGATGGATGGATATGTACTTGTCCGGTATGTACCCTGCTCCCAGGACAAGCTTTCTGATCGCTGTGACCCAGATATGTGATTATCAAAGATGGCTGGATGAAGCGTTGTTGATAGGCATCATTTTTCAATGTTGACTTCAGGCCCATGTGGAGATCTATTTTTAAAGTTTTACATGAAAAAAAGTGCATTTAATGCGATGGCAGATCTGGAACGCAAGCGGCCGGCAGCGTCCAATCCGGAGCCACAGCACATCCTGAAAAGGATTCACAGGATGCGATTTCTCTCCCTGCTGCCTTGTTCAGTGACACTTGCTCATTAATGCAAGTGGTACTTCGCATGCATGCAGCACGCTAGCCTTCCAGGGAAACATGGATCGTCGCTCGCAGCACTGCAGATTACGCCACTCACCGGGATACTGTTCTAAATCAGGTTATTTTGAAATATAGGAGATAAAGAACATTAATGAAGTGTAATGCTTCAATTATGCCCTGATTCTGCATGTTCAACCAGTGAAATAATCAATTATTTAGCCACCACTGATTAAAAAAAGGTGTCATTTTCCACGGGAGACTCAATGTACCTGTCATGACAGACATGTGACGTTTGGAGCGGTATAGCTTGTCGGCAGCCAAGAAGACGAGCGGAGATTCGAGCTTTGAAAAGATGAGGTCACCCCACCAACAGAGGTATTGAAAATCGTGTAGCAGAGGGATGCTATTAGATTTTGGCAGTCACATTCTGCCTACCAGCCGGAGGCCGTGGTCAGACGAGCGGAGGCCGTGGTCAGACGAGCGGAGGCCGTGGTCAGACGAGCGGAGGCCGTGGTCAGACGAGCGGAGGCCGAGGTCAGACGAGCGGAGGCCGAGGTCAGACGAGCGGAGGCTGAGGTTAGTGTAGGCCGCGGTCAGGCGAGTGGAAGCTGAGGTTAGTGGAGGCCGAGGTTAGACGAGCGGAGGCTGAGGTTAGACAAGCGGAGGCCGTGGTCAGGCGAGCGGAGGCCGTGGTTAGACGAGCGGAGGCCGTGGTTAGACGAGCGGAGGCCGAGGTTAGACGAGCGGAGGCTGAGGTTAGACAAGTGGAGGCTGAGGTTAGTGTAGGCCGCGGTCAGGCGAGTGGAAGCTGAGGTTAGTGGAGGCCGCGGTCAGGCGAGTGGAAGCTGAGGTTAGTGGAGGCCGCGGTCAGGCGAGTGGNTAGTGGAGGCCGCGGTCAGGCGAGTGGAAGCTGAGGTTAGTGGAGGCCGCGGTCAGGCGAGTGGAAGCTGAGGTTAGTGGAGGCCGCGGTCAGGCAAGTGGAAGCTGAGGTTGGTGGAGGCCGCGGTCAGGCGAGTGGAGGCTGAGGTTAGACGAGCAGAGGCCCAGCATGCTGTTGTCAGGTGAGTGATGTCCTACATTCTGCCCTAGAACTTTTACTGGATGAGAATGACCCAGCCAATCCTGCCACCCCTCAGTCCCCCAGGTTCCTCTGACATTAAGGTGACTCTATCTCTGCGAGCACGTTCGTCTCTGCCGGTGGCCCCTAGTAAAGCTAGGCCTCGAATCGCAAGGCCTTAAACTCCAAGGCATTGGAGTTTTAAGGAGGACCTGCTTTCTCAACCAAGGACCTGAGTAAGTGAACGTCCTGCAGTGAAAACACCTTTTGTTTACTGCTGGAACAGCAGTGTTATTATGGGGTGCTTTGTTTCTGGGCCCTGCTTCGCTCACTCACTCACCTGTGGGGCAGCAATGTTGAGGCCGGGGTTGTTCAGCTCAAACTTCTCCTGGGACTTCTCGCGTGCCATCCGCGCCGCCTCCTTCACCTCCCTGAAGCGCTCAGAGAACTTGTGGGGGGGGACAAAAGTGAGCTGTCACTCGTCTGAGACAAAGTCATCCATCATCATGGATTTGGCAGCAGTGGAGCTGGGCGGCTCGCTCACCTGGTAGAGCTGCTGCTCTGTGCCGAACCCCAGGCCATAGACGGTGTTGGCCCGACTGTCCGCCCACTGACCGAACTTCTGCGAGGTTTTGGTGAAGGTCATGTTGGGCGTGACCGTACTGTTGATAATGGCCTGCAAGGGGGCAATGTGCAAGACGACGCAACAATGACCAAAATAACGCACCAGGTTAATAACATCGGGAGCTCTGGCTGAGGGGGCAGTATATCTATACCTTCACAGCTCATTTGTGGAGAGAGGAGAAAAGGCTGCATGTGTCAGATTACTTACAAAAACAGGCAGAGTGAAATGAGCAGCACGACAACACGAAGAGACACAAGCATGCACAACTAATCTGTAAACACTGGGCTGATTGTAGCGAGCTGGCAGGAAATGGACGACTGTGGGCTTTTTTTACAGTTTCCCAAAGATGACTAACAATCTCACTCCGAGGAAACCTCATTAACGAGCAGAGATGCCAGCGATTCTTCCTTCATCCTCATAAAAATCCGTTTATTCTCGTTTCCCAAATCTGGACCTAAATCGTATCATGTGAAATCTGGAAAGTAAAACGAAAATGTTGAAATATTAAACCTGAGAGGAATGTTGTTTTATAAATATGCAGGACACATCTAAACATAAAACATATTTGCAGGTTTTACTCAGGCAGGATTTCTGTATATGGTAAATATCTGTGTGAGAAACTTCACTGGCCGACTGGCAGGCTGGCTCATCGCCGTCCACAGCAGTGTCCGCGAAGTGGCCACCCGCGGGCGCCAGCGTCTGCGATTGTGTCACGCCACCATGAGGGACACGTAGACGAATATCTCACCATCATCCACTCGCAGAATCCACAAGGAGCTGCTTTTAAAGGGCCCACTAAGTGCCGAAATAACAGGCTCTGACTCGGCAGAAATCACACTTTTTATTTATCTGCACTCCCACAGAGTCTCCATTCTATGAGGCATAACCTGGTTACTCAGCTTGGACTATTTTATTCCAAAGAGAGTGTCCTATCGCACTGGGTTACTTACAGTGAATCTACATACAGTGAGGGCATGGCTGTGGGGGTGTCCCCAGCGGCAGCAGGGCCAGGCAATGCCGTGCAGTGACCCCATTATTCACTGCCAGTTAGTGCCTCAGGCTATGAAGTGAAGCCATCTGGGGAGGAGGAGGGGACCTACAAGCTGTGCTCTCTCTCTCTCTCTCTCTCTGTCCCTCTCTCTCTCTTTGACACTGACAGACACCCCCTGAAGACAGCTAGCTGTGCTCGGACCTCCTACCACCCCCCTCTATACCACCGCCTAAGCCGTTCCCACAAGGACCCTGGGCCTTCTTCCTGGGACAAACCCTATGCACAAACAAGCTGGGCTTGATTCAGAGCACGTCCATCTCCCAGCTGCAGTAGCCCCGCCTATGTGCCTCTGGCCACGCCCTCTTCCTCAGGCATACATACATATCTATTAGCATTTACACTACCACTGAAAAGTTTTTGCGCACACTGAGATTTTCTGTTTGCATGTTACTTAACTTGTACTAAAAATACACTCAATATTCTTTGATAACTAATAAATTTACAGTATTTGAGTACCTTTATCAGCAAGAAAATGTCATATCTTTGATTCATCAAAGTATCCTCCAGCAGAGAAAATTCAAGGCATTCTTTCTACAAGGGACATGAAATACTGCTGTGTTTCATGGGATGAAACCGTCAGCCAGTGCGTGTGACATTAATGGACAGCCTAGAATTTTACTATGGCATCACCACACAACCAGTTAATACGATATCAGACATGCACTGTTACATACTCTTTCCATGTTATAAAGGAAACTTGTTTTATTTGGCTTATATTTGCATTAATAGTTGTTCACTCAACTTCCTAATGCTTAACAAGAATAAAAATCTGCAGTTTATGAAATAAATGGAAAATTGGTAAAGACCTGTGGTGTGCAAACACTTCTGATTGGTTGTGTATATATAAACTTATAGTATTTTGAATATGAGCCATTCAAGCTGAACCACAATGGCTCCAAGCGTTGGCTGGCTCTTCTCTGTACGCTGCTTTGGATAAAAGTGTCTGTTAAATGAATCTCATGTAAAATGGGACCTCAAAGAACTTAACTGCTGGAAAGAGTGGATAACTGATGAGGGGGGAACGCAGGTCGTCCCAGTTATATTGCTGGGACCTAAGAATTTGCCGGTTTCGTGGGGACGTAATACAGGCAAAAAGGGCTCCGTAAAAACAGCTCTGGGGCGTATATGAGTCAAACTCTGTGTCTCGCAGCATTGATGTTTTTCGCCACATAAAGTGTGAAGCCAGGAGGCTGATCTTGGTGCAGAGTGGGGGCCTCTCACCTTGGTGCCACCCACGCTGATGATGCGATAGACGTTCCTGTTGGCGTCGTAGAAGAAGGACACGGTGACAGCATGCTTGCTGGCGGGGACCCAGTTCCGCTTGGTGGCTGGGTCAATCTGGAAGACATGCGCCCTGGTACTGAAAATGGGCTGCTCCCTGGGGAGAGACGCGGGACAGTGTTTATCACCAGGGGGCAGTTGCTCCATGCCCCTACACCGTTTGCTGTGCAGGCCCTGTCCGGGCACTCAGGGGACCTTCTGTCCTTGTTACTGAATCACCGACATCGACAAAATGTGTACCTGCACCTCCCCATGAAAAAACGATCCTCGATGTGTAGTGGAATGTCTGTGTTCGATCCTGAATGGCATTTTAATGGGCATGTAACAGCCAAGATGAGAACATGCACAGGACAGTGATTCAGGAATGCTGGCTGGGTCCAAGAGACAAATATGAATCTATTTATCCTGTGTCAGTTATACTACAACTACAAACAGAACAGCTTTTTAAATCCAAATGCTGTCATTTCTAAAATGGAATTTGTCATTATTACAACATCCGTCTTCCATGTAAGTGCTTGATACCCACTTAAGTGAAAAGATCTGTGACTATTCTAAGAAGTTTGCAAGTAGTATGGCTTTGCTCTGCAGCATCAGCTCAGTCATTCAGATGGTAATCTGCACTCATTAAACCCAGAAAAACACTCCAGTCATTTGCCTTTGATTCTCAGAAGGCGGGAGCACATCCAGTGAAACACTTGCACGAGAGTCCGGAAAAGACCTTTTGCAGTTTTGGGCCATTTAATCCAATCAGGTTCTAGATATATCACATAGAAATACACCACACACCAAGTCATTAAAGGTCCTCGTCCTCATAATGGATTTCCAGTTATCCATAAAGTTAGTGACAAGATCTATATGAGTTGGGTTCACCAACGCAGATGAGAGAAAGTCAACAGTGAATTAGAATCACTGAGGCACTCCACTGAGGTGTGTTATTGTGTTTCCAGACCTCAAATGACAGCTTCCTGGCAAACATACTCCTCAGTACTCCTGCACAAATGCAGAGAGAAACATTTCTCTACAATGCCAAAGCTGGCAGCCGCACAGGACTCACATGCTCAGTTTAAAAAGCCACACATTCGTAACGGCATCATTTGTTATACTATTTAGAGCCACAATGATGAAACACCAAAGGGTACACAAGCTGTGTCGTCAGGAGGGGTTTCTGACAGGTGGGGGCAGCTGGAGG